AGTCTTAGGCTTCCACTAGGAATCGTAGCAATGGCACCATTGTGCTGGAAGTTAAAAGGTCTACCCTCCAGAGCCAGCAGGTGGTATTGCGGTTAAGGTGCTGAATTCCCAGACTGAAGTTCACATCCAGGACCTGACAGCTTGAAAATCATGCTGGACACGTGTGTCCAAAATCCCCAGAAGAGAATGGAGAAGAAAGGATTGCAGTGTGGCCATTCCCCCCAAGGGGTGATATCACATTTTTCCTCTGTTTTTCTCTGGCAAGGACATGTGTCCTATGACAAAACCTTAAAAAAAAAAAAAAAAAAAGAAAGAAAGAAAACAATGCCAACCTTGGAGGAGTTTGCGCCTTCTTTTGATAAGATAGTATACTTTTAGAATTCTGAAGGAAAGTGTCATCCATGTTCTGCTGCTGTCTTTATGTGAAACAAAGGCATGGTTAGGAAAGATGTCCGCGGATGTCAAGGTGACTAGGGTAGATTACTAGCTACGTGGCTACTTATGTGTCAACAAGGGCGAAGGTTGCTCTTTCTCCAGTATTCCTTTCCCTCTCTGGTTTGGGTTAGGGTTAGGGTTGAGCACAAGAGAAAAATGTATCATCAGAACAAGGAGAAACAAAACAGCATCCACTTTACACTTAGGTCAGCAGAGAAGGCTGGGCGCTTTGGCAGCTCCTTGCTGTTGTTGCTGACCTCCGGCTTGCCTGTTCACAAGGAGCAGCACCTTGGCCTATAGCATCCCAGCTCCAACCAGTTCTCTCCTTGGGCTCTCTGCTATGGTGTGTCTCATACTGTAAGCAGGGCTCAGCTGCCCTCAGCACAGCTGCCAGTTCTACACCACATCGAAATGGCTCAAGCCAGCACCTGGAGATAAGAACTTAGAGGCATCATTCCTGCCTAGCAGTCTGGAGCTCCCACTGCCTCCTTTAAAGGAACGATTCAAGCATATACCTGTGAACCTAAGTGACTCACACTCCCCAGTATGTGCGGCTGGCTGCCACGCCCTGTCTTCTTCCACGGTCTACATCCCTGATCTCCGTGTGTGGTGCCAGGAGCGCTGGGTCCCCCAGGGACTGTACGCACAAGGACTTAGCCACTCCTGTTATGGTCATGTCATCATCAGGCCTGCAATCTGACCCCTAACAGCAAAGCTGAACCAAAGGGATTCATGCAAGTGGTCTCCTGCTAGTGACCTTTTATCCAGGTGACCGCTGAGGACAGTAGCTACCACTTAACCTGACAGAGAAAGCCATTCAACCTACCAGGAACCTGTTCAATACCAGACACAGAGGCTAGCCTTGTAAAGATTTCTCTACAAGCTCCCCTAATGGCGTTAATTCTAATTCCCATAATTAATCCCATATCCTATACTACTCATACTGGTTCTGCTATAATTATATAAAAATATACAAAAACATCTACAAATGAGTAGGACAAACTCATTCAGTAGGACTGAACAGAAAAGCAGAAAAACAAAAACCAAACAAAAAAACATAAAAGTCTTATAATAGAAAAAAAAAGTTAACAGAATGTTCAACCTCACTAATAATCAGAGTAATACAAATTAAAATATGAGCTACTATTTCATATTCATCAAAGGATTCAAATGTCTGACAACTCTAAGATTGAGCCTATTTATGGAACAAAAGGAAGTTGTACACATTGCCAGCAAGACTATAAAATGTTTAGCCCCCTTAGAGAATGATTTAGAAATATTGGGGACACTTAAAGTGAGCGTTGCCTAAGTCCTACCAATTTCACACCTACAAAGGACCTTCGGGCCACTCCCAAACAGTAAGAATGGGATGGGATGGCAAATTAATATTCTCTAAATTAATGTTCTTTATCTGGAGAATAAGAATACCAATATATCTGAGCTTGCGAAAAAGCACGGACCTTCAGGTTGGCCATCCAGTAGGCAGAGGTCTCCACTGCCAACTATGCTAAGTGGCCCAGTGATCTCTCCCTTCAGGTAATCATCCCCCTCTCTTGTGTTTGAGCTTGATTCAGTGACTCGCTTCTAGTGAACAGAATGTGGTAGACATGATGGAATGTCACTTGTTAAGACTCGGCTACAAAGAGACTGCAACTTCTGTCTCAGGTGCTCTCTTTCACCGAGGGATGTCAGCCACTGTACCATGAGCAAGCAGCGCTACGGAGAGGCTCACATGACAGAGTGCTGACATTTCCAGCCAGCATCTAGCAAGGCCTGGGACGGGAGTCTGGATGTAGACCTCCCCAAGTTGTGCTTTCAGAGGATTACAGCTCTGATGCTTCAATTGTAGACACGTGAGGTCCTCAAACGGGCATCCAGATAAGTCATGCCAAATTCCTGACCCACAGACAGTGAGATGACACTGTTCTAAGCCACTGAGTATTAGACTCATTAGTTAAACAGCAATAGATAACTAGTTTACTCTCCAATAATCATTGTATCCCACAGTGTTTACAAAATTTCCAGACTAAGAGGAAGTCTAAATTACCTAAGTTAGCCCATTAATTCATTAAACTAACCTAATGAAAGGCCTTATCGGCCAGGTCTCATTCTAGAGATAAACTCATAAAAAACACCCAAAACCTACATTTTATAAAATAAGACAATAAAAATAAGTAGAATATACCTACTGTCATATGATTATAAGTGCTATAGAATAAAATAAGGAATAAAATAAGGAAGCAGTACAGAAAGAGCCAGGCCAAAAGAGAGACTGCAATTTTAAAAAGGAATAGTCAGAAGTCTTTTGTAAAAAGATGATGTGGGAACAAAAGCCAGAAAAGTGAGGGAGTGAGTCGTAATGAATATGGAGAGAGCATTCCATACAAGGAGACCACCGAGGAGCCAACGGGAGGGAACATCTTGATACAGGACGTAACCTGGCCAGTGCGGTATTTTTTTTTTTTTCTTTTTTGGGAGAGGTTTTTACTTTAGGGTGCGTGCGCTCACCAGAGAGAGAGAGACAGAGAGAGACAGAGAGATAGAAAACGAGAAATCACCCCCCAGGGGGGATGGCCACGCTGCAATCCCTTCTCCTCTCGGGATCTTGGGCACGCACGCACACATGCCCGGCGTGAATTTTAAGCCACTGGGTCCAGGATGCAAACCGCGGTCGACTACGTGGGAGTCCAGCGACACAGCCATTATGCTAACTGCTGGTTCCCCAGTGTGGTATCTTAAGGGCCTGTCTGCCTTTCTAAGTATTTCAGCCTTCACTCTGGTAGAAAATGGAGAGTCACTGGGTTTGGAAAAGTGACATGACTAGGCTCTGTTTCAAATGTCACTCTGGCTGCTGTGTGAAAAACAACTGTATGTGGTGGAATAGGCAGGGGACAGACTTGGGGGAGAGTGGAGACTGGCTACTGCCGGGGTCCAGCCTTGGCGTAGGTGGGTTATCTCGACGGAGGCGGCGAAGGTGAACAGAAGACAAAGGCCTCGATGCTTTTTCGTGCATGTCCTTTGCCGGACACCCCTCAGAGATCGCTCTCTGAGGAGTGACAACTGCTAGGAATTATCGTGCCTTTTTATTGAAAATGTGTTACATGCAAGTAAATGGGAGAGGGGCTAGTGTTTCAATTAACAGCTCATAAAGTTTTTAACAATAGAGAACATAGATTCTATTCAGGGTTTGATTAAGGGCGGGTCTAGTGCAGTTCCGCAATTGTAGGTGGGTCTCCATGAAATGCAGTTTCGGAAAGTGGTTCCAGTAAGCAGAGATGATTATCAGCTGATGCAGCACAGCAGCCATCTTGTGATTACTGGGAATGGTGCTGAGAAAAGAAAATCTCAAGAACAGATATTAGTTCTTATGGATCTTAATAAAGAATGATAGTTTTGTAGGGATTTATAACTTAATTTGAGGAATTTTAATATATTTATCTATTTCACTTGGAGAGGGCGGAGGTGTCCTGAGCCAGTTTTGGCCTAATCCTATTTTAGGTAAAGAAAGGATTAAGTTTACCTTAAATGTATCTTGAAGGGCCTTCCAAAGTTCAAGATTACTTCTGCCTAGAAAGAACTTTAGCCCACCCTCTATTGTGACCATGGAGATAAAGCATTGTAATTAATGGTAAGTGATCAGAGCAAAGGGGAGTGGTCGGGGACTTCCTGGAAGATTTTATCGTACATTCAGGATGTATAAGAGAGCTATGCAATTCTTTTATAGTAGTGTATTGGGGAGTCAGAGGGGGGTCGCTTCCCAGTAAGGCTGCCACAGTTTCTGGAGCAAATAGCAAACAGCCTTGCTGACATGCTAACTGACCCAAGCTTTGTTCCAAGGTTGGGGGGGCACACAACAGTGGCCTTGCCAACGTGTTGATCTGACCAGAAGCGGAGCTCAAAGGTCGGGGGGCTCAGACAGATCCTGGGGCCTCGCCGGGTCGGACTCTTCCAGGCTACAGAGTTTCTAGTAACAATCCCAGTTCAGATCAAGGAGAGGAAAGATGACGGTTATAAAAAATAGTCAGTTTTGGGACCAGCAGTTAGCGTAATGGCTATGTTGCTGGACTCCCATGTAGTTGATCATGGTTCGAATCCTGGACCCAATGGCTTAAACTCACACCAGGCAAGTGTGCATGTCTGCCCAAGATCCCAAGAGGAGAATGGAGGAGCAGGGATTGCGGTGTGGCCATTCTGCCTTGGAGGTGATTTCTCACTTTCTGTCTCTCTGTCTCTCTTTCTGGTGACCACACGCATCCTAGAGCAAAAACCTGTCCAAAAAAAGAAAAAAAAATAGCCAGTTTTTGAATATAGTTTAGGAAAAGATTCACTAGGACTTGCTAGCCAACTATAAATGTGTAAGGTACAAAAGTATATATATATATCCAGTGAAAGATAACTTAGTCAAAATCATTCATCCAGAAAAATACATGCTTTATTAAACCTATTTTAAATTATTTACTATTCATAGTCCCCTATAATCTACAGCCACTGACACCATATTGCTTCAAGTCACTAACTATAATGACTACTCACAACTTTTTAAAGACTTCAATCGTATTTTATTTCATCATTTATGCTGTGTTGTAAGCAGCAGCACAACACTCATATGACAAGTTGGTTTTGAAACAACTATGCATTGCAGCAAGTGGGGCGGTTACTGATCATTCCACTCTTTTGGGGTAACTCTGCCGACAGGGGAGGGGTTCCATTCTATTCCAATCTGTGTGGCTGTAAACAGCCATGCAACAACACAAAATGTGACCCCGCTAGCCAGCAAAGTATTGCCATATTTGTCATGAAAATCTAGCGAGTGCTTCCCGTGACTCTGCCTTGCTGTAACTTGATGAATGCTTCGAGTCTTGAGACCACGTAGTGTGTTCCTGGCCATGGTAAGCATTGTGAAGGTGCACCAGGAGTACAGCTGACTGTGGCCACTGGTCTCTTCTGTCGCAAAACCCTGGAAAAACGAAATGGTCAGTGATATCTGATCCACATTCAAGTCCTCTCTAAATGTTTCACCTACGCCACCTCTTAGCGTAGCGGTCAGATATGTGAATTCTGGTGTCATGACATGGACTTAAATCTCAGGTCTGCCCCAGAGGAGCTACATGAACCTGGGCAGTTATTTAATCTCTCTTTGCTTCAGTTCTCTCAATAGCCAGCGGAGATGATACTGTCTGATTCCTAGGGGTGTTGTAAAGATTACAAACGGTAACCTAAAAGCATCAGCAAAGTAACCACATAATGAATGTTAGGTTTTCTACTACTCGATGCAAATATCCAATGCTTGCTCTGCAGACAGACTCCAAACTTACTGCATGCTTAACATGCCATTCGAAATCATCCCCAACTTGCCTTACTAGTTTACCAACTAAGCCCAGGTTTCAGTAAGAACTGCTAGGCACTCAGGAAGTATGTCAAGTTCCTCCCTCTCCACTTGTTCCCCTTCCTCCCCTGTTTAATACCCTCCTCATTCTCTGTGCTGCTCCACCTGAATACTTGCCTTCCCCTTTCCCCAGGTGAAATTCTACTTGCTTCTGAAATGCCAGCCAAAATATCACCACTTCTGAGGAGTCTTTTTCCAAATCTCCCTAGGCAGAATAAAACTCCTCTTCTCTGGGCTACTACACGTTCAATCTCCCTTCTTTCATAGGAGGCATTATCTTAAGGATCTTTATCTCCTATTAAGGAGATGAGAGGGAGATTTTTTTAAGGAGTAGTTTTTAGATTCACAGCAAAACTGAACGCGAAGTAGAGTTCCCAGATACTCTGACTTCACATTCTCACAGCCTCTATAACTGCTAACAGAACATTTGTTACAGTGGACCGATAGCGACATGCTATGCTCATGCAAAATACCCAGTCCACATTAGGGTTTACTTCTGGTCATGTATGTTCTATGGGTTTTGACACATATATAATGATATGGGTATCACAGCAACACACACAGTAGTTTCACTGCCCTTAAAAGACCTCGCAACTCTGTACTTGTACGTCCTTGCCCGCTAACCCTGGCAACCACTGATTTTCCAAATTTTGCCCTTTCTAAAACATCATTTATCAATAGTTGGTATAACATAGATCAGTCATCCATGTCTTTTCATGGCTTGACAACTCATTTCTTCCTAGCCCTGGATAATATTCCACTGCATAGATGTACCACAATTTATTTATTCATTCTCTTACTGAAGAATATCTTGGTTACATTCAAGTCTTGGTAATTGTAAATAAAACTTCTATAAGCATCCATATGCTACTTTTGTGTGGATATATTTTCACCTAATTCAGGTAAACATTGAGGAGAAAATTGTTGGATCATATAAGAACAATGGCCTAGTTTATAAGAAACTGTCTAACTGCTTTACAAAGTGGTTGTTATCATTATGCATTCCTTTCTTTACTTTTATTTCATATTTTAAACAATTAAAGTATGAATTTATTTTGGTACAAAAACGTTTTGAAATTCATACATAGTTTTCCCATTACATGTATTTCCATGATTTTTTAAAAACTTTTTAAAATTAATTTACATTCATTCCCTAAGTATCATCACAGCATACAAAATGTGATTTCCCATCCAGAATATACTGCATAGTGGCTTAATCATGCATGTTATCATCAATAATTTTCCATTTCTAGTTTCATGTGTGTGTGTATGTGCATATATAAATATATGTGTGTGTGTGTGTGTGTGTGTGTGTGTATATATATATATAAAACCCCTATTTCTGACCCTCTGCCATTTTCTACCCTCCTCCCACACTATCTCTTGTGTCTACAGTTGTTTTCCATTCCCTTTCTCCCACATTTTATTGATCACAAAATTTCTTAAATAATCTACTTTCAATAATGAATTCAGCTGCTAATTTCAAGAAAAGAAGTTTTAACTTTAATAAATCAAAGATATGCTAAGGAACTTTGCTAAAAACTTAAAGCCAGGAAACAGGTTGGGATTCTGTTCAAATAGTAAGTACATGAACCTATCGACAGCTCAAGACAGGACAAAAATCCTTAACATCAGAAAACAAGACCTAGAAGAAAATAAGCAATATTTTAGTCAAAAGTCATAAAATACTATTTCACCAGTTCAGTCTCATGTACTTAAGCTATCTTCTGTTGTGGTTTGATCTTCCTGATTAAATTCTGAGATATAATCAACTACAGACTTGTCCCTATGAATAAGTTGGCTATTTTCTTAGTTTTTGAACTCTTATTTCTGTGTGTCTGTATTTAATTTTCCTGGTACTCCCTTGAGAACTTCTTGGAGATCTTGTCAGGTGTTGGTTAATTCTTTTAGGTTTTGTTTATCTGAGAATGTTCTTGTCTTCTCTTCCCAATGTGAAGGATAATCTTGCCGAGTACAGTATTCTTGGTTGAAATTGCTTTTCCCTTAACACTTTGAATATATCTTCCCATTCTTTCCTTGAGTGCATTGTTTCCAATGAGAGGTCCGCTGTTAGTCTGATGGGATATCCTTTGTAGGTAACTTGCCATTTCTCTCTTGCCAGTCTTAGTATCTTGTCTTTGTCTGGGGTTTTGGTCAACCTGGCTATAATGTGTCTTGGAGAAGATCTTCTTGGGTTGATTCTATCTAGGTTCTTTGCATTTCTTGAGACTGGATCCTTGAGTGCCTCTCTAGGTTTGGAAAGTTTTCATGCAGCATTTCATGGAATAGATTATCAATGCCCTTATGCATCTCTTTGCCTTCTGGGATACCAGTTATATGGATGTTTGTATGTTTGATGGTATCTAGTATTTCTCTTACATTATTCTCAAATTTTGGGGCCATTTTCTCAGTCTTTCTGGTGGATTTTTTTTAGGCCAGCGTTTCTCTTCTATGTTTGAGATTCTATTTTCTGTATGATCTAGTCTGCTTTGAATACTTTCAAGGGAGATTTTGACTTCCTGTATTGTAGCCTTCATTTCTAACAGGTCCATTTGATTCTTTTTTTAAGTGTGTATTTCTTCTTTTAGATCTTGCAAGAATTTCTTCACCTCCTGGAACTCATCAGTTCCTTTCTCCTGTCTCTTCTGTAGTTCATTATCTCTCTTCTCTTCCACTTCTGTTAGCTTCGTCATTATGAATATTCTAAATTCTTCATCAGACATTTCCATAGTTTCCTTTGAACTGTCTGTGCATGAAGAGGAGTTATTCTTTTCCCTTGGAGGAGAGGTATTTCCTTCCTTTCCCACATTTCTTGTGACCCTGTAGTGATTTCTTGTCATCTGATGGATGGTGTGTTTCTTCCTAATTCTTGAAGTTCAATCTGAGCATTCAACTGCATGCAGAAGGAGAGGTGATCTGGAATTTCTTTGCCATTCCATTTTTATCCCTTTGTGCAGCAGAGCATTCCTACCACAATGAGCGATAGTTCCTGTTGCTCTCTATCCTTGCAGCATTTAGAATTGTTAGTATTTTACAATAGACTTTGGCCATTATAGATTTTGTTTAATCTGAAGTCCCCTAATGACACATAACATCTTTCCATAGATTATTTGCATTGGGATATTCCTCCTGTGAGGTATCTGCTTCAGATATTTTGTAAAAAGTTAAGTTTTTGGTTTTAAGTAAGTCTTTAGTTTTCTCACTATTGAATTTTAAGAGTTCTTTGTGTATTCTGGGTAACAGTCCTCTATCATATGTTGTTTATAAATATTTTCACCTACCCTGGGTCTTGTCATTCTCTTAAGGAATTATCTTTTTATACTCCTACAACAAACTGCAAGGTGTACAAAAGTAAGGAATGAAACTTTGCATGTAAAGTAGCTGACACAAAACAAAATCACAGGCAAAACTTTTTAAGCCAATATGAAATATAAATAAATATTGGTACTGGTATCCTCATAAGATGCTAAAATAAACACAAAGAATAAGTAAAAAATAATAATCATAATGAAATCATATGTGCTTTTCTTAATAGCCTTGATTTTATTTCTTAAGCAGATAGCTACAAAAAGACTAGAAGCACACTGAAGAATTGTCAATTATCTTCCTTATATGAGCTGTCAAATGGTGCTCCACCTTTAGCAATGACATATGTTAGCTGTGGCCCAAATATAGAAAATGCGGATACAAAATAGCCTGAGGACACTACTCGTAAACTTGTAACTGTTCACTGAGAGTTTCCAATTCTGAAGACTTTACTCACACCTTGTGGTTCTCTTTTATTCCCTCCATATTGTAAGTGGTACCCTTCTTAAATGTGACAAACAGGGGAATGTAGAGCCAAATTATTAATATTTTCTTCAGAGGTTCCAGATATTCAGTTGATTCCTGTTAGTTATGAATCTCTCCACCAAAAGGTATATAGGTTTTAACTCTAATTGAACTCAGAGTAGGCCGAAGGTGAAATGGGTCAGGCTGTGACAGGTGCAGCCTAATCTGTGCCACACATTGCTTTTCCATACTGAGAAAGGCACAAGACCAGAGAGTGATTTGTGGTAACAGAGATCTCTAGTGGGTCATCGACTCCTGCCTGCTGCTCTATGACAAATTGATTTCATTACTCCTATCCTCATGATGTTAAGTTGAAATTCAGATACTCTGTCTCTAGTGACATTGATCCTATCCCTTAGTAGCTTAAGTTCATTCTTTCACTATTCCCATATCTGTAAAGCTTTTTTCTTCTCTAGCCAGCCTAAAGTGTCCATTATTATGCATTTTCCTTTAGGAACTCCTGTAGTTTGTGGTTGGCATTCATCTTGTAATAAACTGCAGTCTTTTCATTCCTTTTTTTCTTCTTTGTTGGCATCAACTACATCTATCTTAATTGCCTTCAGATCTACCTTATATTTATCTTAGCTTTTAAAACACATGTAAAAGCTAAAAACATACTGATTAGAGGAATTTTCTATACTGCTTAATTCTACATGAGACACATCTACAATAAATTGTTATTGGTGAGTCCTAAGTTCATTTACCAAAGAACTAAAGCTACAGGTTCTAATATCCACATG